GTACAAATATACCTCAATGTCTGTCTATACTTCCAGGGTACAAATATACCTCAATGTCTGTCTATACTTCCAGGGTACAAATATACCTCAATGTCTGTCTATACTTCCAGGGTACAAATATACCTCAATGTCTGTCTATACTTCCAGGGTACAAATATACCTCAATGTCTGTCTATACTTCCAGGGTACAAATATACCTCAATGTCTGTCTATACTTCCAGGGTACAAATATACCTCAATGTCTGTCTATACTTCCAGGGTACAAATATACCTCAATGTCTGTCTATACTTCCAGGGTACAAATATACCTCAATGTCTGTCTATACTTCCAGGGTACAAATATACCTCAATGTCTGTCTATACTTCCAGGGTACAAATATACCTCAATGTCTGTCTATACTTCCAGGGTACAAATATACCTCAATGTCTGTCTATACTTCCAGGGTACAAATATACCTCAATGTCTGTCTATACTTCCAGGGTACAAATATACCTCAATGTCTGTCTATACTTCCAGGGTACAAATATACCTCAATGTCTGTCTATACTTCCAGGGTACAAATATACCTCAATGTCTGTCTATACTTCCAGGGTACAAATATACCTCAATGTCTGTCTATACTTCCAGGGTACAAATATACCTCAATGTCTGTCTATACTTCCAGGGTACAAATATACCTCAATGTCTGTCTATACTTCCAGGGTACAAATATACCTCAATGTCTGTCTATACTTCCAGGGTACAAATATACCTCAATGTCTGTCTATACTTCCAGGGTACAAATATACCTCAATGTCTGTCTATACTTCCAGGGTACAAATATACCTCAATGTCTGTCTATACTTCCAGGGTACAAATATACCTCAATGTCTGTCTATACTTCCAGGGTACAAATATACCTCAATGTCTGTCTATACTTCCAGGGTACAAATATACCTCAATGTCTGTCTATACTTCCAGGGTACAAATATACCTCAATGTCTGTCTATACTTCCAGGGTACAAATATACCTCAATGTCTGTCTATACTTCCAGGGTACAAATATACCTCAATGTCTGTCTATACTTCCAGGGTACAAATATACCTCAATGTCTGTCTATACTTCCAGGGTACAAATATACCTCAATGTCTGTCTATACTTCCAGGGTACAAATATACCTCAATGTCTGTCTATACTTCCAGGGTACAAATATACCTCAATGTCTGTCTATACTTCCAGGGTACAAATATACCTCAATGTCTGTCTATACTTCCAGGGTACAAATATACCTCAATGTCTGTCTATACTTCCAGGGTACAAATATACCTCAATGTCTGTCTATACTTCCAGGGTACAAATATACCTCAATGTCTGTCTATACTTCCAGGGTACAAATATACCTCAATGTCTGTCTATACTTCCAGGGTACAAATATACCTCAATGTCTGTCTATACTTCCAGGGTACAAATATACCTCAATGTCTGTCTATACTTCCAGGGTACAAATATACCTCAATGTCTGTCTATACTTCCAGGGTACAAATATACCTCAATGTCTGTCTATACTTCCAGGGTACAAATATACCTCAATGTCTGTCTATACTTCCAGGGTACAAATATACCTCAATGTCTGTCTATACTTCCAGGGTACAAATATACCTCAATGTCTGTCTATACTTCCAGGGTACAAATATACCTCAATGTCTGTCTATACTTCCAGGGTACAAATATACCTCAATGTCTGTCTATACTTCCAGGGTACAAATATACCTCAATGTCTGTCTATACTTCCAGGGTACAAATATACCTCAATGTCTGTCTATACTTCCAGGGTACAAATATACCTCAATGTCTGTCTATACTTCCAGGGTACAAATATACCTCAATGTCTGTCTATACTTCCAGGGTACAAATATACCTCAATGTCTGTCTATACTTCCAGGGTACAAATATACCTCAATGTCTGTCTATACTTCCAGGGTACAAATATACCTCAATGTCTGTCTATACTTCCAGGGTACAAATATACCTCAATGTCTGTCTATACTTCCAGGGTACAAATATACCTCAATGTCTGTCTATACTTCCAGGGTACAAATATACCTCAATGTCTGTCTATACTTCCAGGGTACAAATATACCTCAATGTCTGTCTATACTTCCAGGGTACAAATATACCTCAATGTCTGTCTATACTTCCACGGTACAAATATACCTCAATGTCTGTCTATACTTCCAGGGTACAAATATACCTCAATGTCTGTCTATACTTCCAGGGTACAAATATACCTCAATGTCTGTCTATACTTCCAGGGTACAAATATACCTCAATGTCTGTCTATACTTCCAGGGTACAAATATACCTCAATGTCTGTCTATACTTCCAGGGTACAAATATACCTCAATGTCTGTCTATACTTCCAGGGTACAAATATACCTCAATGTCTGTCTATACATGTACTTTCAGGGTACAAATATACTTTAATGTCTGACTATACATGTACATGTACTTTCAGGGTACAAATATACTTTAATGTCTGTCTATACATGTATATGTACTTTCAGGGTACAAATGTAGTTTAATGTCTGTCTATACATGTACATGTACTTTCAGGGTACAAATATACCTCACTGTCCGTCTATACATGTACTTTCAGGGTACAATTATACCTCAACGTCTGTCTATACATGTACTTTCACGGTACAAATATACTTTAATGTCTGTCTATACATGTACATGTACTTTCAGGGTACAAATATACTTTAATGTCTGTCTATACATGTATATGTACTTTCAGGGTACAAATATACTTTAATGTCTGTCTATACATGTATATGTACTTTCAGGGTACAAATGTACTTTAATGTCTGCACATATGTTCTTTTAACTCAATAGTCTTAAAACTACTACAGAAATGTGAAACATGTCTTCTAAACAGTAAAACATATGTGGTTTAAAAATCAGAATTGTAAAAGAGGCATGAAAGGTAAACAGGCTCAAAGTTTATCATAAAAGACACTACAGACAAGTCACAAGGCATTAGAGATTGAATTCTTTTTAATATAATGTGTAATTGCTTTCAGAACTAGACAGACAGAAATTAACAGAAAAAGAATGATTTGTGTAACTCAAGCAGGTATAATTTAAACAAAATATGACAAGGATGCTTAACTGAAAGTAAAAAACACAGGATATACCAAATCAGGTCACAACACACTAAATAGGATCAGAACGGTCGACACCTGAAACTTTAAATTAAATGCCACTAACATACTTTACAATATGAGTTGACAATTGAAAACTTAACATACACTGAATATCTCTACGTATTACATGTATATAATTATATACCAAAACAAACACTTGACAAAATAACAAACGACACACAAAAGTAATGTTTAAACAAAAGACCCAATGGGCCTGCATAGCTCATCTGTAACATTAATCTCACACCTGTAAACTTAAAAGTGGACTAAAATAAAGCTACAGGCAAAGTTAAGTATGTATGACTCAAACGTATTAAAAAGATCCTGCTAAAAATATACCGGTAGACACATTTAATCCCTTTGACCTTCAAAATCTAACTAGGTAATTAAGTTGAACAAACTTTATAGCCCTTCGTCCCAGTATGCACCTTGTCAAATATCACCACCCTATATATTTTATTTATTGAGATGAGGTCATTTAAAGGTTTATAACCATTCGATCATGTGTGACCTTGAGTAGGGGTCAAAGTTATTCACATGAACAAATTTGTAGGCTTTTTATCTGAGCATGCTACTGGCAAAATATCACCGCCTTTTGGTTATTCAGAAGAAGTTGGTTAAAAGTATATTTAAGACTATTGATCGACCCCTGTCACCTTGAATATGGAAGAAGGCAATTCATTTGAACAAACTTGATAACCTTCATCCTTGCATGCTACTGGATTAACATCATCACCCTAGCCACTTTGGTTATTCAAAAGAAGTCATTTAAACAATCCCAAAATATCATCATCCTGGGCCGTTTCGTTATTCAGAAGTTATTTTTTAAGGCAACTGACCCCTGTTACCTTGAATATAAGGTCATTTATTTGAGCAAATTTTGTAGCCTTTTTGGCCAGGTGAGGTAAAATGAAATGCAATTAATTAAAACAAAATGATACACTTTGTAAAAAATATTGAGGTGTGAAAATGATTTTAAGAGAACAGTGGCAGTTAAGGGGAAATAACTCAACAACAATAACAGATGTTTGTCTCCGGAGCAAAGAAAGAGGACAACAAACCGAATGTTTCCCATTAAACCTCTAAAGCAGGGACAGCCATATGGTGTACGGTCACTACATTATATTTTGTTTATGACAGTAGGTGAATCAATTCAAAAATTGTACACATTATCAGTGTGTTTAAATCTACAAGAGATGTACTTGTGAAGGATCTTAATGAACTTCAGGTATTCCTTCTATTAACATTGACCTTTGACCTTTTTTCTCTCTTAACTGTTAGATTGATAACAAAAACACCTTGTCAACAAGAAATGCATCTTGTTTTAACTTAAGATTAAAACATCCCACAACTGCCTTAAACTGCAAAAAATAATACCTGGATGAACAACTTCAGGTGGTAGTTATCATATCTGGAAACTTTCATTGAGTCCGGACAAACTTTTTCTACCATAAACTGTATTTGTAATGGGCTTGAGCTAGGCTACTTTTATTACTTAGTACTGTTTGATCATGTTTATGGGGGATGACAGGCCATTTGATTGAAGCAACTGTGAAACAGATGACTGAATGGGTGAAAAAAGCAACTGTGAAACAGATGACTGAATGGGTGAAAAAAGTAACTGTGAAACAGATGACTGAATGGGTGAAAAAAGCACCTGTGAAACAGATGACTGAATGGGTGAAAAAAGAAACTGTGAAACAGATGACTGAATGGGTGAAAAAACTAACTGTGAAACAGATGACTGAATGGGTGAAAAAAAGCAACTGTGAAACAGATGACTGAATGGGGGAAAAAAGCAACTGTGAAACAGATGACTGAATGGGGGAAAAAAGCAACTGTGAAACAGATGACTGAATGGGGGAAAAAAGCAACTGTGAAACAGATGACTGAATGGGGGAAAAAAGCAACTGCGAAACAGATGACTGAATGGGTGAAAAAAGCAACGGTGAAACAGATGACTGAATGGGTGAAAAAAGCAACTGTGAAACAGATGACTGAAGGGGTGAAAAAAGCAACTGTGAAACAGATGACTGAATGGGGGAAAAAAGCAACTGCGAAACAGATGACTGAATGGGTGAAAAAGGCAACTGTGAAACAGATGACTGAATCGGTGAAAAAAGCAACTGTGAAACAGATGACTGAATGGGGGAAAAAAGCAACTGCGAAACAGATGACTGAATGGGTGAAAAAGGCAACTGTGAAACAGATGACTGAATCGGTGAAAAAAGCAACTGTGAAACAGATGACTGAATGGGAGAAAAAAAGAAACGGTGAAACAGATGACTGAATGGGTGAAAAAAGAAACTGTGAAACAGATGACTGAATGGGTGAAAAAACTAACTGTGAAACAGATGACTGAATGGGTGAAAAAAAGCAACTGTGAAACAGATGACTGAATGGGGGAAAAAAGCAACTGCGAAACAGATGACTGAATGGGTGAAAAAGGCAACTGTGAAACAGATGACTGAATCGGTGAAAAAAGCAACTGTGAAACAGATGACTGAAGGGGTGAAAAAAGCAACTGTGAAACAGATGACTGAATGGGTGAAAAAAAGCAACTGTGAAACAGATGACTGAATGGGTGAAAAAAAGCAACTGTGAAACAGATGACTGAATGGGGGAAAAAAGCAACTGTGAAACAGATGACTGAATGGGGGAAAAAAGCAACTGTGAAACAGATGACTGAATGGGGGAAAAAAGCAACTGCGAAACAGATGACTGAATGGGTGAAAAAGGCAACTGTGAAACAGATGACTGAATCGGTGAAAAAAGCAACTGTGAAACAGATGACTGAATGGGTGAAAAAGAAACAACACCACCACAAACAGAACTTACATCACTAAACACGTACACCAATCTGATCACAACAAAGACAGAACGTGGTAAACAACAACAGACGTCTTTGCCATACCCTGTAAATCTACATTAGTAAAGCTTGCATAAAGGTATGGTATTTTTTATAAGATAACACTACCCTTTCTGTTTCATATTGCAAGAACGAAAGCATAATGCCAGAAGACCTTTTGGACATTTGTGTCTAATCCCCTAAGAAACAAAGCACTACAAATAAAACATCAAATACTTTATCACAGTTATGCTACTAATTAAGTATTTCATTCACCAAGAAGCATTGTGAGAAACAGAATGAAACAAAACATCATATCGACAATGTCAAAGTTTGTATATAAGCTTCCCTCTAATAAGGAGTGTCTATCTTTTTTGTTTTTAAATTTGATCACATCTTGAATACAGTACCTGTAAATATTTGCTGAGTAATCTGATACACTGACAAAACATACAACATTTGTATTCATTTTGTTTATGTTAAAATAAAGTTATTCAGAATTTGACTTGGATACTCAAATCAGGAATCCATTAGTTATACACTACACCTGTAAAACCTTCCATGTTAATTTAAATGATTGACATCGAATACCGATATTAGAAAATGAAAGAAAATTGGAATCAAGCCTTTAAAAATGACAGACAAATTAATGATGATCATAGAAAAAGAAATAACAAATCTACATAAAAATAAAAATAGGATCTACATAAAAATAAGATCTACATAAATTGAAACAACTTGATGGATATGTGATATGTTCACTGCACACATAAAGAAACAAAAACAGAAATATAATTTACTATTAAATGTAAAAGTTGAAATTTTTGTGATGAGAAATGTTCACTGATTTCGCATTTTCTTAGTAATACAGCACATACCGTGTATGCATCAACACAGTAACTGAACATAATGGCACTACAAAATAACAGTTTAAAAAGTGAAATGGGAAATTGTTCACTCACAAAAATTTCCAGTTTCACATTAATTATATTCACAATATTTGAGTATATGTAACATTGATAGGAAGCAAGCGTGATCCAGAGGCAAAAAATATACAGTTCATACGAGGTGGAGGTATAATAAAGAATGTATATATGTCTACAACTAAACATCAACCTTAATATAATTTACAGGTATAATTCACTGTTACGACTACACTACAAGGTGGCAAGAGTTATTCCCCTTGTGAAAAAAGAAACAAGAGGGCCTGTATTGCTCACCCGGATCCATCATGGCCCACCTTTAAATGATTTCTGTCAAATTTGGTTGAATTCTAAGAAACAGTTATAAAGAAGAAGGTGTAGACTGTAGATGGACGGATGCCACAGTACAGCATATGCTCACACCTTGGTCCTTTGGACCCGTGAGCTTAAAATAACCAAGGACAATAATATTAATTGGAGGAAAGTTTCAAGAATGTTCCAAAGAAAATTTGTTTGAATTTGAGAAATAATCCCATCACATCCTTTTTAGAAAACATGATAATATTTTTCTGGGGGCTACTATTTAATATGGAAAAAACATGAATTGGTCATTTGCTGGCAAACTTGTTATCCAATATTATTCATAAACTGCCCCTAGCCTTTCATTAAATAGCAATGTAAGTGTACCATGTTCTTATTTTAAAGCCTCAAGGATCTTAAAATATTCAATAGGAAAATATTACGATATAGTTCAATTCCTAAAATTTGCAAAATTTGTCTCTTCATGAAAGTAACGCAGAAATTGAGTGAGATAATGGTTAATCAGACTTGAAAGTGCCTCGCTGATCACCTGAAGCCTAAATAAATACCAAGTTTTCTGTTTAAGAAAATACATTTATTGTATGACATATAAAATGCTGAAGTGATTTCAAGGCACACTCTATAGTATATATGTTTATATATAAAACCATGCATAAATTTGTGTACGTTTCCATATAGACTGTTTTATTATTGATTTGATGCCAAGGTATGCATTGACAGCCAAAGTAAGGCAGACATGACAATCTGCTGTGGTATAAAATTCCTTTCTACCATGCCAGAGCTTATTGGCTAGTAAAATACATACACATGTGACAATCTTTTCAATCTCCATTAAAAGGGGGCAAGTTAAAATGTTATCCCATTATTCTATAATAGAATCATACCTATATGTTTGTGGTGTTTTAACTTCCCACAAGGTGGAATAACCAATTCATGGTCAGGTGTTAAAACATCTACATAAAAGTATTACAATAAAAAAAATATTACAATCATTTTTTAAATTTCAATTTGAGTACAATATCTTTGTGCTAAAATAAAAATTCAAAAATAGACAAAAAAAAATAGTCATTTTTTAACCTCAAAAAATAATTCAACAAGTATTAATGCGGTAAATAAACTGATTAGTTTCCCTATTTCATGTAACTAAAAATAAACTGATAAGTTCCTCTATCTCCCATATTGGGTCCCGCAACTCTGCAACCAGAGGGGCCACACCTAATGTTTATACAAAATTGAGTCCCCTTGGCCGAAGGATGCTCCAGACTAAATTAGGATAAAAAATCCCTTTATTCCAATGGTAGAAGAAGATTTTTTAGGTTTTACCTCTATATCCCCTATTGGGCCCCGCTCCTCTGCCTCCGAGGGGGCCACACCCAACGTTTATACGAAATTAAGTGCCGTTCGGACTAGGTGAGCTAATAAATTAATCAGGCACTTATCACCTCCCCTTTTTATTGCACGATTTTACTATAATAACTATTACAATATAATTGTTAGAAAAAATATTTTCTCTCCTCTGTGTCTATTGCACTTACAAAATAAGAACAAGTCTTTATAAATAAAAATCTAAAATCAAGATGATATATATTAGTTTTCTGGATATAATATCAGAAGTTGTGGGAGAAAACCTTGTTTCTTTATACAATTTGAAAATTTACTCAAGCTAGATAAACATCATAACCAACAACCACTGATAGTGGAACGTCTGTATCTCTGCTTTCTTAGCAAGTATCAATATCCTTATCTCGCAAACACAGTGATTAGAGGATACCAATTGATATACCTACTCAACAACATCTCCGTGAACTAATGAGACTTATAATACGAGTAGTATACAGACTCTATTCACTCTGTACATATGGCACAAAAGGTACCGAGACATCTGCCATTTAATATATTTTCCACACCCACATATTTGTATTTCTCAACAAAAGACCAAGAGGGCCGGTATCACCCACCTGGAGAAGAAAGCAAGCATGGAAAATTATTCTTATTACATAAAACAGCTATTTCCAAATATTAGCTGTCTCTCATCAACACCCATCCCTCATTAGGTCCCTTCTTTCTGCCCCTATTGGTGCCACCCCTCTGCCCTCTAAGAGCAACTCTGTAGTTATACAAAATTGAGTCCCCTTTGCCAAAGGATGCTCTACACAAAATTTGGTTAAAATCCCTCGAAATAAACTAAAGGAGAAGGATTTTAAACATTAATTACTATGTTCTCTCTATTGGGTCCTGCCGCTACCCTCTGCTTATTCAAAATTTCGTCCCCTTTGCCAAAGAATGCTCCAGGCCAAATTAGGATAAAATCCTTCCAATGGTACAGAGGAAGAAGGATTTTGAAGACTTAAACCTCAAATTCCCCTATTGGGCCCCATCCCTCAGCACCCAAAGGGGCAACACCTCCGTTTATACAAAATTTAGTCGCCTTTGCCAAAGAATGCTCCATGCCAAATTTGGATAAAATCCCTCCAATGGTGCAAAAGAAGAAGGATTTACACATATACCACCATAATGATAAACACAATTAACCACTATAATGATAAACACAATATACAACGTTAATGATAAACACAATATACAACGTTAATGATAAACACAATATACCACCATAATGATAAACACAATATACCATCATAATGATAACACAATTTAACACCATAATGATAAACACAATATACAACCATAATGATAACACAATTTAACACCACAATGATAAATAAAATATACCACGTTAATGATAAACACAATATACCACATTAATGATATTTACAATTTACCATCGTAATGATAAACACAACAATATACCACCATAATGATAAACACAATTTACCACCATAAAGATAAACACAATTTACCATCATAATGATAAACAATTTACCACCATAATGATAAACACAATTTACCACCATAATGATAAACACAATATACCACCATAATGATAAACACAATTTACCATCGTAATGATAAACATAACAATATACCACCATAATAATAAACACAATTTACCACCATAATGTTCAGATTTAAACCAATAATGTCAACATCTAGATATAAACAGTGTTCTGTTAATTTTAAATTTGGATTTCAAAAGTGAAAAAAGACTTAAGTACAAAAATATCTGTCATCATGTTCAGTCATACATACTCTAAATAAACAAATTATGTTGCATTACAGATGTTTATATTACACTTTAAGAGCTGTCAGTGGAACCATAATACGTGCTTAAGATTTGATTTACAGAAGAATTGAAAGTATGTTCTTAAGTGCACGGTGCTGCTGGTATGATAAAGATATCTGTAAAAGAGTTCCACCTCACTGATTATAGTCACAAAGAAGAGTTCCACCTCACTGATTATAGTCACAAAGAAGAGTTCCACCTCACTGATTATAGTCACAAAGAAGAGTTCCACTTCATTGATTAGTCACAAAGAAGAGTTCCACCTCACTGATTATAGTCACAAAGAAGAGTTCCACCTCACTGATTATAGTCACAAAGAAAATTTCCACCTCACTGACTATAGTCACAAAGAAGAGTTCCACCTCACTGACTATAGTCACAAAGAAGAGTTCCACCTAACTGACTATAGTCACAAAGAAGAGTCACACCTCACTGACTATAGTCACAAAGAAGAGTTCCATCTCACTGATTATAGTCACAAAGAAGAGTCACACCTCACTGACTATAGTCACAAAGAAGAGTTCCACCTCACTGACTATAGTCACAAAGAAGAGTTCCACCTCCATGCTGTGTTTTGCACTCACTAGATGGAACAAAGAATTACAGTGTATATATCTAAGAGGTATTTGTATTGTATCAGCAATGTAATCAATCATTAATTAGTAATATAGATTAATTGTTTCCAATATTAATTGAAATCATCAAAGAAGAAAATAGTGATGCACCCATCCATGGTTTCACTCCGAAAAAGATGTAAAGTAATCATTTAATTGTACATATAATTGATACCACAAGCAGCTGTAACTCACTAACGAATCACTCAGCTACTCACACATTAGACAATGAAAGTTAGACATGGGTTACCAAGTTTATAATAATAGTATCATATTGATACATGATACAGCAAAGCAACAACTTGACTAATACAATAATTAAATTGTAATCTAACTGTACTAATAGGTTATAGTTACAAAGAAAGTCAAACATAGCACCTCTATTTACACCTGGGCCGTTTTTCATTTAACGTCCAAACCGGTTGGACCACAATTGTTCGTTTATTAAATAAGGTCGGACCTAGTATTCTTATGCTGCTTTTAGGCGAGCCTTGACAAAGCCTCGCAAGGCCTGCATAAACGTTTGCAGGTCCGCCAGGATTTATACCCGAAATTGTTACATTTATAAACGGTCAAACCGGTTGTTCCGCATAAACAAACAGGCCCTTGGTGTAACACATCCAGACACCTATCACAAACCCCTGTATCATACTTCTTCTTCGAATTACTTTATCCACAAATATAGACAAACTAAAACCAGATAACTTATTTCAATGGCCTGACTTACACTAGACTACCTCTAAGAGGTGACCACTGCTAAAACTGACCATTACAGTGACACTGACATTCCTGCTCATAGTTAGATATAAAAAATGATAATAGAAAGCCCAGATGTCCATTTTATAATTACATATACACAAAGAGCACACATATAATGATATTTTTATGGAAGTCATTAAATATGTCTTCTGTCACTGCCACTAGTGACAAAAGTAGATGCAGTCTAGGGCTAAAGAGCTGTCATCATTACGATGCTATAAATGTGGTTTCCAAATCGAAGGAACCAGAATTTTCAATTCATTTGAAGATTTTTGTCATGATTTATTTAGTGCTCTATTTAGACAGATTGGACATTTTAATACAAAAACGTTTCCATTTCAAATGAGGCCACTTAGAGCAGAAAGGGGCCATTTTTTAGCCTAAAAATGATAGTGGAATAGGCCTTTAACTTTTTACATTACAAGATCACTTTATTGTAAATAGATCAAACATGTCATACCAGCTGTACATGTATATAATCTAAAGCCATCTACCCTGGGTATGTAAACCCAGGTTAAAAGATCACATACCTGTCAGTATGGTACTACATCCAAGTATTATTCCTCTGTATGTTACTGGTAACACTTTAACATTGAACTACACAATTCTGTTTATGTGTCTTTCTGAACATGATAAATAATAAGAAGGATGTAGCAAACAGACCTTAAAACTATGTGGAGACCTTATAATGTATATAGGTACCAGTTGAGCTTAAAATGCTGAAAAATATCTTCTAAACTTTTCTGCATCCTATTTTTCCCCAGACAGGAAACATTTTTTAGTGATTTTGCTCCAAGAGCTCAAGTTACATAATAAATTTCATTTAAAAAATAAAAATACTGCTGCTACATATGTTGTTATTAATGTTTCTCTGTAATAAGTGTCTATCTAATGTAGTGTTTAAGTGTACATTTGTACTTTTGAATATCATCACAATAAGACATTATTTCATTGAATAATACCTTTAACAATATATGGTATATTTACATTAGATTTTTTCAGGTCAATATATCTATAAATACATATTCATTTTTTTTTTAGAGTTTAACACCAGTTGCATAACAGTTTTAGTGAAATTCATTAGTGAATACACAATATCTCACCAATATTGACTTTGCTTTTTTCTTATTTTAATTTGACCAAACAAATTGGAGAGATTTTAACATTCATTGAAATGACATCACATCCCTGAATTTGAAGAAACAGTTGTGGGATTGTTGGTGCCCACATTGATCAAACAGTTGTGTGTTTTTTGAATTCCAGGGAGGCTGAGTTAACACAGTAGCGGACACACATAGGTTTTGGTCCATCGTCAAACACATGTCCTAGGTGAGCTCCACACTGACTACACATAGCCTCAATCCGTCGCTGACCTGTGTCAAGATAAAAAGTAATGTTTGTTTAGATGATACAGTATGTACAGTATATGAAGGAAGATGTAGACTAATTGTCAATTGTCACAACTGTATCATGTTTCGGTTTACCATGGTTTTACAAATTACATTGTTTTGATCCCATTTTCCAAATAAACAAGAACCCAAGCCGTTGAAGATATGTTTTAACCCTGTGGTCTGTGGGGGACCAGAAACCATACACTATGTATTTACCCTGTGATCTGTGGGAACCAGACATTATACACTATGTATTTACCCTGTGATCTGTAGGGACCAGACATTATATATACTATGTATTTACCCTGTGATCTGTGGGAACCAGACATTATATACTAGGTATTTACCCTGTGATCTGTGGGGACCAGACACTATACACTATGTATTTACCCTGTGATCTGTGGGAACCAGACATTATACACTATGTATTTACCC